GCAAAATCTCAAAGCTATTCACAGCTCGAACTCCGAGATTCGATCTCTCCTTAAAAAGTCTGCTTTCATTGCAGCAAAAAAGGGTTTCTTTTAAGCGCACCGACAAATCTGGAACGCATGCGATAATAAAAAGAAATCTGATTGGGTTTTTGGAAAGTTTGCGAAAAATCAGATTTTTGGTTTTAATGCAGGAAGTTAAAAGCGATGGCGCGTTCCAGCGGGCGCTCGTAATAACGTCTGTTGGTTTTTGAAAAGTTTGCGAAAAATCAGATTTTTGGTTTTAATGCAGGAAGATTAAAAGATCCAAATGGCTTGAATTATTCTTTTATTTTGTTTATCCCTCAAGCTGGAGCGCATGCAATACCGAAAACGATTTTCTAAATCAAAACTGTGATTTTTTTTTAAGCTAATGAATAATTCATAGTACAGTACGGTACTAGCTACAGTTATACAATAGTACTGTAACATTGTCTGACTCCAACTTTCCTTGGTGACATCCAGTTTGGGGAAACCCATCAAAATCACCGCAAATTTACTGTCAGCACCTCATTGGGGAGCCAGGTGGGCGACAAATGGCTCTCTCCAGGAATTCTCTCAATTTCATCAGTTTTTTTTTTGCGACAAAAACCGAAATTTCTTGATTCCTGGCGAGCATCCGGCACATAGAGATGAGCAGATGAGCTTGTTTTTGTCAAAGTTCATCATTTGGAAGGCGGGGGGAAGAGAGGAGGAGAGGTAACAAAATTAGTGCCAAGAAAATGTGACCATTTTCGATTTTTCATCATCGCATACGTTACTGTGACATCCAGATCGAAGATTTCTTCATGAAATTGATTATGAAAGTCGAAAAATCGGCTGTAATAACGCCCAATCCAGTTTTCGAAGAATTACCTTCAACTTCTAGACCAGTTTCCCTAGACTAGAAAGAAAGGAATCTTTCTCTTTCAATACCTGTTTACTTCTAAAAGTTCAAGAAGTCAAAGGCCAAAGATAAAGATTCAAGGAGCAGCAACTCTTCAAGATCAACATACCCTTCACAACAAATTCCTTTTCTAAGAGACGCCTATTTCAGAAAACTAATTCAATTGTCAACTTAGTGACTCAATTTTCAATCAAAGCTTCAAGAAAACTCAAGAAAACTATTCTACTCAAAACAAAAGAATCCTATTTATGTTTCACCTTTTGTCTATTAATCATTCAACATCACTTACCCATTCCTGGGCTTTTTATTGTTCTCAATGAATCAAACCCGTTAATTTTTTCTTTCCCGAGAATTTGCCACAAAAAAAAGACTCAATCTAGGTTTTTAGAATCATGACCTTTCTCTTTCGAACCCTATTCAGCTCTAAAATCTAGCTGGGATTCGAGTATTTTGGTAGATTTGGTAGCCCAGGGTTATCTAGAGTCGATCTAGGTCGTGCCAAGACGAACAGCAAAAGCCACACTCAATTTCAATCACTAAACAACCAAAGCACTCATTGTTCGAACGTTCGAACGTTTCAACATACCCTGCACATAGAGATGGGCAGATGAGCTTGTTTTTGTCAAAGTCGGCAATTCATCATTTGGAAGGCGGGGGGAAGAGAGGAGGAGGAGAGGTAACAAAATTAGTGCCAAGAAAATGTGACCATTTTCGATTTTTAATGATCACATACGTTCCTGTGACATCCAGATCGAAGATTTCTTCATGAAATTGCTTATGAAAGTTGAGGACTCGCTCCAAAAAAGCTCTATTCAGTTTTTGGAAATACTAGCTTCAATTTTTGTGTCTATTTTTTCCCAATTTCACTCATTTTTTTGATTCATTTTTGAAAAGTGACGATTTCTTTTTGGTATTTGAGCTTTATGATTGAATATTTTCAATATTTATTGCAAGTTTTGAATGCAGAAGTCGGTGGAACGATTTTATATAGAAAACGGAGAAGACTACAGAGAAAAATAACGAAAAATGTACGCTTTTTAAAATCCATCTTCTTTTGTGCATTCCAGATGGGGGATTTTTAAATTCAACTCGAAAATTAGACGATCTTGGAGCACAGAAAATTGACCAAACTCGATTTCCCTCGCAACCTCAACACTTTTTGTCTATATCAACGGTGTTGCCATATCGAATGCGCCATCATCTATGCTGTGCTCCAATTTGACGATGTGATTCATCAGAAACGAAGAGCCATGAAAATGGTGCCGAGAAAGGGGGCAGTCCTCATCGGTGTCGCCTCCTCTCCTCCCCTTTTCCGCTTGCCTCAAGTCCCGCCCCCGTGCCCCCCTCTCTGCCCCTCTCCCTCCCACCCCAACCATTCCCTTTTCTCTTTTCTCCAAATCGAGCACCCCATCTCTTATTCAGACATCTCTTTACCCCAAAAACAATCAAATTATCTAATTACTCAATTCGATCGATCGCCTAACTTCTCCTTTTCGATTTACTAAATTTTTTCGTCAAAATTCCCACCCTGGCCTTAAATCTATCCACCCGGGGGCTTTACACCCCCTCTCCAACACCAATCATCATGACGAGAAAGGTAAATTTAAAAAAAAAATTCTTATTTTTGATATATAAAGTACAAGAATATACTACTAAAATCTATCTTTACAATTTACAAAAATTCTCTTAACCCAGCTGAAGCAAAACTCTTAACCCAGCTTACTCTGTGATATCCAGAATATAGAAATCAAGCAGAAATTCTTGGGTTTTACCCTTCGTAAAACCGAGATTTCTGCTTGATTTCTATATCCTGGATGTCACAGAGTAAGCTGGGTTAAGAGTTTTGCCTATATCAACGATGTTTTCGATTTTCTTTTCTCTCCAGAAACCTAGCTTCTGGAGAGAAATTTGGAGCAAAACTCTTAACCCAGCTTGCTCTGTGACATCCAGGATATAGAAATCAAGCAGAAATTTTTGCCTTTTACCCTTCGTAAACCGAGATTTATACTCATTCTCATCTCAGCACTACAAGAATAGTCAAAATCCTCGGTTTTTATTGAATTTTGAACCAAAACCCATCCATAGCTCCTTTTTTTCGCTTTTTTGACTCTGTTCAAGGAGTAATTTCATTTTCCCATTTCCTCTCTTCCCATTTTTTTCTCGACTTCTCTCCAGAAGCTAGGCTCCGAAAAGAAAATCGAAAAATTTTCATCCACTTTTTTTTCTTTTCTTTAAACAAAAAAAAGCTTTCCTGAGACCCATCAAAGAAAATTTGGCGGCTCGATTTTGGAGAAGAGCTGAATCCGCTGAGAAAATGAGGCAGTCCTTAGCTTGAGTGAAAAATTGAGTGTCAAATTTCAAAATTGTTTTCATTTTCATCACTCATTCAGCCTTTTGCACTCCAGAAAAGCCATTTAGCAAAAAAAAATTGTTATCATTGTAGGAAATTCCGTAGAAAATCAACCAGTCCCAAAGTGAAGCAAGAGTTGAGCGTCTAAAAACGTGAAATCCATAGACGAATTCGGTTTTCTTTCACTGGATGATTATTCTGGAGCGCACTGAAGCGATTCGGGTGGTTTAGGGTTGAGGATTGGTGAAATGTGGGTGGGTCATCTAATTTCTCATTAAGGGTCCAGCCTGGGGGTGTGGAAAGGCTATTGAGACCCCCGCTGACTAAAACCCTTTCACCCACCACCCACACCAAAAGCCACACCAAAAGCCATCCCAAAAGCCATTGAGCCCATCCTCCAATACCAAAAACCCCTTCACTCTCTAAAGAAAATTATTAGTTTGCCGATGAAAGAGGACTGGCTCTTTTTACGGCTCAGCTTTCACAATTTTGACATTAAAAGCGAAAATTATCAAATCCTGGAAGGCAATTTGAATATTTAATAAGATAAATTTTTGAATAAATCACTTTTCCGGGAAAAAAAATCCGCTCAGCTTTGGCATTAAAAAAAGGGGAAAAATTTAAATGGCTGAAATTTTTCTCCGGAAAAACTCATTATTCTGGAGCTCACGCAGCTCGAAGAAACTAATTTCGATGGAAAATCGGGGAGAAATTGGTGTGCCCATTTCTTATAGTCCAGTGGTCAATAGGAAAAAAGTCTTAAAAGACAAAAAAAAAGAGTCGAGAAAATTAGTAATTACTTTTTTTTTCGTCTTTCGCGCACAGATTCCAAAAGTGAGATTAATCAAAAATTTACAGCTTACCGCTTTTTTTTTCATTTTTAGCTACAGCTTACCGCTTTTAGCTAAAAACTTACTATAACTACAAGTCGCTACTCTTTACTCTACTCTTTACTCTACTCTTTACTCTACTCTTTACTCTACTCTTTACTCTACTCTTTACTCTACTCTTTATGCTAAAATTCACTGGATTTTATTTCTCAAAGTCTAAATAGGTATCGTGTGCTCCAGATGGGGCGCACGGTTAAAATAGGAATTTGATGTTCTACTTTTCGATAAATGCCGTTGATCTTGATCTGCGCCGTTTGTCGGTCCCGTTTGGGCATTTTTGAAAATTTTGCCTATTTTTGCTCAAACTGGAGTGCACATGAGCTAAAGAGTAGAAAAAAACTAATTGGCTATCGTATTTTTCATTATCCAGGGTGTCCAGGTCCACTACTTGGATAATGTTATCTCGTAGTACTCATTTCCTTTCATTTCTCCTTTTTTTCTTTTAGTTATTTTCCGGATAATCCCCTTTTTCATGAAGGGCGCGACTAAGCGACGCTAATTACCGTTTTTGAGATCCGCTCTGAAAAGGGAGGTAGATAATGGATAATGGATGTCGAGGACTGAGTGAATAAATGGAGCCTAGGTGTGAGAACATCATCATCCAACCGTTATTAGAGCCATTCTGGAAGGCAGCAAGGCCATCTAGACTATTGGAAACAAGTTTTGAGGAAATTAGAAATAAGTGAATTTTAGAAATTTTTCTTATCCAGATTCACAAATTCGACTTTTTATTTTCTTTGTAAACCAGCTTTTCTAAAGTTTTTATTTTATGCTGTGCGTTCCAGGATTCGCATTTAATCATTTAAAATCTAAAATTTCCCGATTCTAGGCAGCCGCCATGGAGGAAGAGCTGCGGTGTCCGTTGTGTCGTCATTTCTTCACCGACCCAGTGCTGCTCGGGTGCGGGCACTCGTATTGTCGGACTTGTACAGTAAAAGTAGGCTTTTAAACTTTTTTAAACGCTCCTAACGTCTCAAAATTGTTAAAAGCTAGTATTTGTATGTATAAACTCGTAAATAGTACGTAGTGAGTGTACTTTTCTTTTGACGTAAATAGTACGTAAATAGTACGTAAATAGTACGTAAATAGTACTTGTACGTAAATAGTACTTTCCTTTTGACGAATAAAATTCATTTTCATTTTCAAATTCATTTCCTCCACCACAAAAACCCTTTGTGACATCCAGGATTGACGAAGATTGAGTGGAATCAAAAAAATTCCCATTCCAGGCAGTGCAAAACCCGTCGATCACTGGCCGACCGTCGACCCCATCGATCTCGACATCAGCCACATCAACTCCAATCCCTCCATCACTGTTGCCCAATCATCACGCGCTCTCATCACCGATTTCACCAAATTGTTCATCTGGTAGGGGATTAAAAGACAAAAAAGGCAGTTTACTGTAGAAAAAAGACAGTTTACTATAGAAAAAAAGACAGTTTACTGTAGGAAAAAAGTCGGAAATTTTGAATACTAATCGAATTGTTTAGATTTAAATTTTAAATTCTATTCAAATTTTTCAGATCGAAGCTCGGACACAATCTCGTTATGCGTTTCGGATGATCATGAGAGCGACAAATTGTCGGTGGTATCGGAGACTGATTCGGGAGTCGTGCTGCTGGGAAGACGTTAGTTCATTTTCATATTTGATTGTAGCAATTCAAAGCAAGAGCCATTCAAAGCAAGAGCCGTTCGAGCAAGAGCTGTTCGAGCAATAGCCGTTCGAGCAATAGCTGTTCGAGCAATAGCTATTCGAGCAATAGCTGTTTGAACAATAGTCGTTCAAGCAATAGCTGTTCGAGCAATAGTCGTTCGAGCAATAGCTGTTCGAGCAATAGCCGTTCAAGCAATAGCCGTTCGAGCAATGGCCGTTCGAGCAATAGCTGTTCGAGCTATAGCCTTTCGAGCAATGGCCGTTCGAGCAATAGCTGTTCGAGCAATAGCCGTTGCTCGAGCAATAGCCGTTCGAGCAATAGCCGTTCCAGCAATAGCTGTTTGAGCAATAGCTTCGAGCAATAGCTGTTCGAGCTATAGCCATTCAAAGCAATAGCCGTAACAGTAGCCAAATCGTTTCCCCATCGAAATTTCCCATTTCTTTGCCGCTTATCGCGAATTTTTGGCACGCGCCTATTGTAAAAATGTAAAAATTTTCTCCAGAAAGCTATAAATTTTGCGTACGGTAGGTGATAAATCACGAATGCATTCCAGGATTTCATTTCCCGATGGAAAAAATACGATCTACAAAGAAATAGATACGGAAAAAGAGGCAAACTTGTACTTTGAGAAAAGATTGGCGCTTTATATCATCGAAATGAAGAGATTCAACTAAAAATTCCGAAATATTTCCTCAATCTGGAGATCAATTTAGCCTCTCGACCATGTTCGATGATCGGTCCACCATCAACCTCTTCGTCGAGCCGTTTCCCCCCGTTGTTCCCCTCGATTCTCACACCGTCCACGTCAGCGCTGCAGCTCACATGTGCCGCCTGCTTTAAAAGCACTTACTACACGGATGAGGTGAGCCTAATGCATAGTAAAAGCTAAAAAAGCTAAAAATTTTGATTTGAATCACCATTTTATACAATTTTGAATCTTTTGAGCTGGGGTTTTTAGGACTGGTTGAATTGCTCGATTTCAAGTCGCTTTTCAGTGTTTCTTTTTTCGTATTCTCTCAATCTGGAGCGCAATTAGCTATTTCCTGATGTAATCTCACAACTTTACTAGTTGACTACCAATTACACTTTTTTTTTTTACGTTTTTCTTCTCCCTCGCTGGAAAGAAACACCTGCCTTTGAAAAAAAAAAAAAGAGTGATCCAATTTTCATTTTTCCATTCAAGTGCCATCTAATGAAGTTGCTTGATCAGATTTTTTTCGAAAAAACGAAAGTTTAAACAAGTTTATACAAGTTTTTACATGAAAAAACCAGAAACAAAAATGGAAAATGGGTTCGTTGCTGTAAATTGGATAGCTTGAGGTCTCAGAGAAATTTCTAACTTTCTTTCATCATTCTGGATGTCACAGAAGAAGTTAAAGTGCTTAAAATGAGAATTTCTCATTTTCAAATCAATTGACCATGAAGGGCATTGAGTTCAGCAGCATTTATTAAAGCTGATTTGTGATTCCGAGAAATTTCTCACTTTTTTGTTAATGCTGGATGTCAGCACACATTTTGGTGCCATTTTTGCTCTGATATTGTTTACTGATATGTTAAACAAAAACAGAAAATGGGTTTGGTTGCTGTAAATTGGTTATTTTAGAAACTCAGAGAAATTCCTAACTTTCTTTCATCATTCTGGAAGTCACAGAATAAATTTATCACTATAAGATCACTTAAAATGAGAATTTCTCATTCGCCATGAATGGCATTGAGTTCAGCAGCATTTATTAAAGCTGATTTGTCATTTCGAGAAATTTGCCACTTTTTTTTATAATTCTGGATGTCACCACACATTTTGGTGCCATTTTTGCTCTGGTATTGTTTGGATTGATGCCCCAGTCCTCCCCCTTATCAATCCTCGCTTTCATAGATTCCTCGCTCACTCGATCTTTTGCTTTGGGTCCGCGATTTGAAAGAAATGATGCAGAGAAACAGACAGAGTATCTCAGTGTCCTAGTGTCTCAAAAAGAATTTCCTAGCGCTCTCCCGAGGGATAACACACAACAACAAGAGAAAAAGAAGAAAAAGAAGAAAAACATTTTTATGAGCCTTCCCCGTTGACCCCCCTCCCTCAATAGAGATTTTATATCGTCTCTCTTTTTTTCTTTCTTTACTGCAAAACCCTTTGTGACACCCAGGAAGTGCTTTGAAAGTGAAAAAAAAGAAATTTGAATTTCGAAAAATGCGAATTTATCGCTCGAACTTCATTTGAATATTGTGGGTTTTGAAAAAGGTTTCTATTAAGCAAATTTCCAGGAAAAACAGCTTCTGTGATATCCAGAATGGGTAAAAATTGCCAAAAAATCTTTCCTGAATTCAAATTCTGGCCTCCTAAAGCCCCAGCTCTCTTGAATCTTGAAGTCTTCCTTTTCTTTTGATTGCTCAACCCATCTGGAGCCCTTTTCTTGTTTTTCTTTGCCATTCTAAGCATTTCTTTTCCATTTTTACTCTTTTTTGCTCTCTTGACGGAGGCCGTTCCACTTTTTTTAGGGCTTTTCCGTTTTTTTTTGCACCACTATGCAAAGATTGGAGAAATGGATTTGAGTGAGATTGCATAAATAAAGAAAAGCGCTCAAATTTTGATTGCATTTAGTGGGCTGCGCTCCAGATCGGATAATAAACTAAAAATCTCTTTCCTAGCATCAACTTCGGAGCTGGTCAGCTGACAGTGAAAAAACTAGAGTCATCAAAAGTTGTAAATGCAAATTTCGAACAAATTTTTTATGTGAATCGCTAGAGTGCGTTCCAGATCGACAGAATTTTGCAAAAAAATCGGCTAAATTTTTCAGGTATCCATCCAACAATTGCCCACGAATGCAGCGGTGGTGAACGTGTTGACGAGGTACCTCGCACAACACCCGAATTTGGCAGCGAAACACGGAAATGACGAACAAAGCACACAAAAAGGCAATGGGGTTAAAGATGCGAAGTGTCAGGTGAGGGGAAAGAGAGAGAAATGGCGGCTGACCTAAGCGGCTACAGTACCCCAGTGCAATAGTAGTAGAAAAAGTTTAAAATGTGAATTTCGATTTGTTTATCATGAGAATAGGTAATGTGTGTTCCAGATGGATGAATCGCACAAAAAAATCTCGGTATTTATTCTATATTTTCAGCTCTGCGAGGAGGGTGAGAAATCAGCGAGTGTTTGGTGTGAACAATGCGATATTTTCTATTGTGATTCATGTCAGGGAGCATTGCATCCAATGAGGGGACCGCTGGCAAAGCATACGTTGATTGCTGCGGCACAGAAGTCAGTTTTTTTATCAGAAATTTGCATTTTGTTCATTTTAACACCCAAATCCACCTTTTCTGGCAAACCGTAGCTCTTCCCTTCTTCCTGTAGGTCTTCCCTTCTTCCTGTAGATCTACCCTTCTTCCTGTAGGTCTCCCCCTCTTCCTGTAACTCTTCCCTTCTTCCTGTAGATCTTCCCTTCTTCCTGTCTCTTTCCTGCTTCCTGTAGATCTTCCCTTCTTCCTGTAACTCTTCCTAGAAAGACAGATACACATAATGTCACTTTCTAGAAAACTCACAGCGATCTGCAACGAGCCAAAATGTCTAGCTCATCAGGAAAAGCTGACAATGTTCTGCGTCATTTGCAAGACTCCAATCTGTTCAAGATGTGTTCAGGTGAGAATTCTTCAGCCATCACCTAACATGCCCTCCAGAACGGCGAAATTTTAAAACATTTAATCCCAGGACATCCACCACGCCAATCACGACGTTCAGAATCTTGCGCAGACGTCAAAGACGCAAAAGGTCAGCGATTTTCCAATCTTCTTTCACATTTTTACCAATGCTGGCACGCACACAGCTCAAAGGCGCCGCTCTTTTTGTGTTCTCTCTCCAAAATTTTTGTTTTCTTTGATTGCTTGAGGCATTTGTAAGGCTCGTAAATCAAAAGGAACGCTGAAGAGAGAAAATTTCTCAAAAAAACACCGCTGATTTTACGTTTTTATTGGCTTAATCACTTCTAATTTTCCTTAAAAATGGCATGAATTTGTTTTGTTTTCCAATTTCCGGCTCACCAAATCCCTTCATAAACGATTCATGAGTATTGCGAGAAATCTCACCTCATACCTATGCAACTAATTTGAATATTTCAGTATTCTGGGCGGCACGGGGATGCCTGGGCACGCGAACGCACCATTAGAGACCACTCTTTCTTTAGTTGCTTTGGCCCTTAGTCAGGAAAAGGGGACTGGGGGAAATAAGGGAAAAAGGAGAAACAAGAGGAGTAGGAAAAGTGCGGGAATGGCAATCATGGAGGGCACTAGGAGTAACGGAGGGTGAACGGAGGGTGAACGGAGGTGTGCAAAAGCGAGCCCTAGTTTTGAGGGGGATCTGGTTGAGGGGAGCGGTTGAGCAGCCGGTTGAACAGCAATAATTGCCCTTCTCTTCTTTCAAAATCTTTCAAAGATCAAAAAAACCAAAAAAAAGGATCAGCAAAGGGATTGATTTAAAAAAAGAGAGAAAAAGAATTGATTAGAGGGAAAATTTGCATTTAAAATGATTTAAAATCACGAAAATTCTCTCAATTTTTGGTTTTTTGAACGTTTTTTTGCCAAATTTTGTCTGAATCCAGATTTTTCTGAATTTCCTTGTGTAGTGACATCCAGAAGAGCTAACGAATCACTTTCCCAGGCATTGTTCCTAAATTTTTTTGCAACAATAGATACTACCGGTGCAGGGAAGGATTTTTCCAAGGACATGCAACAAAAGACTCTCTTTTTAGCTCTTTTAAATCTAATTTTCGAATCAAAGAGTGTGAAAACACTTGTCATATCGAATCATAATGGAAATAATGGAAATAATGGAAATAATGGAAATGGGGTCGAAGAAAATTGCGCAACCCTGGTCCTCAATAATTTGCATTCATCACCAACACTGACACTGTCGTAAAGTACCCCCCCGAATTACACAATCAGTAAAGTTTCCTTTTTTTTGCTGCTTTCTAGGCACAGTGTCTGCCAGGATGAGCATCTGTTGTGAAAAAATCGCCAAAAAATCCAATAGAGCTCTGTAATTCATCCAGTCCTAAAAAATTTTCGAGTACACCATTAAAAATCGAAAAATTGAGTGAAAAGTGGTGATTTTTTAAATCGAATCCCTAAAATTGGATGTCATTTGGTAGAATTACGAAATTTAAAACGTTTAAATGTAAATTTAAAATTTGTGATATATATATGTTGTGTTCGATTTAGATTCAATCTAAATCGGACGTCTGATTTAGAATGAACTTATCGCGGACGTGCGATTTAGATTACAGTCTATATCGGACGTGCGATTTAGATTACAGTCTAAATCGAACGGAAATCTAAATCGGACAAAACATATACAAATTTGTGAAAAGTGAAAAACTAGTTTTCATTTTTTTTTTTGTTATAGATTTTTTTTTTTTAAATTTAAATTTTGTCTTGTGCACTCCAGATAAGCTAAATCGATTATGATTTTTCAAAAAAAAAAACCAATTGGCTGCTTTTTGGTTGAGAGAGCAAAGCAAGAAACCCTTGCTTGAGTCATCTAATTTGTCCTCGACCAGATGCCCGTTTTCTTTCGAGCGAGACGGGAGTGTCAAATCTGGCCTATAAAACAAATACCCCAAGGGGAGGGGGGAAGAGACAAAGTGTCAACTTTTGAAGAGCAAAACTTTCAATTGCAACTCTCGTAAATCCTGGCCACGACCGTACGATTTTGAGTCTTAAAAAGCGTCGAAAAGCTTTATCGCGAATTGTTGAGCAGCGCAAGGGACGATCTGGAGTGCATGCTGTCAGCTGGCTCTTGATTTAGCCATTGGGATTCAAGTTTGATCAAGGCATAAATCAGCGCCACAATTCCCAGCTCAAAAATCGTTAAACAGCGCCATTGGATTCAAGTTTTAAAAGTGATATTGGCCTATCTGGAGTGCACAAAGCCTATCTGAAGTGTACAAAGCCTATCTGGAGTGCCATTTGATCATTTTATACATCATTTACATCAACATAAAACCTACGGTCCTAGAGGTTTCAGGGTCCTAGGGTCCTAGGGTCCTAGGGTTTGGGGGTCTAGTGAGCTGTGTAATGGCCACCAATTTGTAATGATCACTTCTTTCTACCAAGGAACAACGAAAAAATCGGTGGAAGAGATGACAAATTGGTGGTTAGAGTGCGGGAATTCTCTCCAAAATGATAAATTGTCCTAAATCTGTTCGCCGCTTTTCTGTTTTTCTGTTCAATTTTTTGATTTACGAGGCAACAGATGGAAAAGATTGGGGTTTTTTTTGGAAAATTCTGTCTGCTAAGTGAGCAAAACGAGTCAAAATCTGACAAAAATCATGGTTAGATGGGGAGTTGAAATCTCTAGGTTTGTAGAGAGAATTGCAGAGTCTGTCCAGAGTCTGTCCAGAGTCTGTCAGAGTCTGTCCAGAGTCTGTCCAGAGTCTGTCCAGAGTCTGTCCAGAGTCTGTCCAGAGTCTGTCAGAGTCTGTCCAGAGTCTGTCCAGAGTCCTAAGCTTTTCAAAACTCTTTTCATCCTCTTCTTGACTTATCCTTGCCGGAAAAACAGAAAAACTTCTGCTAAGTGAACTTTGTTAGAATAGTCTTAATCTAACACAGATCTCTTGACTTTCAAGGGACCCAATTTCCTCGCCAACCCTTCCTTTCACCCTTCCTAATCGCTGATTTACACCCCTCACTCAGAAATCTCAAATTTCACCCAGATAGATGCCCTATCTTGACCCGGATTTACATAAAAACGGCTCAAGTTTCACCCCCATTGATGTGCCAAGGCTAAACGTCTGTACTTGTCTTTCCCATGAATAAGAGCTGAGACAAAACCCAGCAATTGTTAGGCTTATCCACTCAACAATCGAGTGTTATTTGTGTTTACTGGCAGGCACGAGAGACGATTGAGGGATTGGGGAGGGGATGGGGATGAAATGTGAGAACGGTCAACTTTGAGTAGTAAGCTGGTCGATTACCCATTTACTCAGAAACTGATCCATTTTAACGCAATAATAAGTAGTATGCTATCCAGGATTCTCAAAAATTGCAATAATTTGCGGAAATGTTGCCTACAGACCGAAGGAGGAGCGTGAACTCTGTCGGTTGGATTGAAGGTGGTTCATTTGCCCAACGATTGCTAGCTAAGCTATTCAATAGGCAGTGTGATATCCAGGATTGACAAAAAGTGCTAACTTTTTCTCTCTTTTCCACTTTTTATTTGCAATCATTCATCGAAATTGGATTCCTTAAAGAAAAAAGGGAAAAGCAGAAAAGAGAATGGTGTTTTGGTGTAAAAAAAAAGTGCTAAACTCGCTCCATTCATCAATTTTTCTGGAAAAAGAATGAGAGATTGGGTGAAAGTTTCATTTGTTTGGGGGGGATCTCATTCCAAAGGCACAACAACCGAAAATAAAACATTCAACTTTTTAAGATCACAATATTTCGGCTAAAAATCATTTAGTAAAACTGTTTCCAAAAAATTTCGTTAATCTGGAGTATACTGGAGCTGGAGCTGAACCTGGAGCTGAGCCTGGAGCTGAACCTGGAGCTGAACCTGGAGCTGAAGCTGGAGCTGAAGCTGGAGCTGAAGCTGGAGCTGAAGCTGGAGCTGAAGCTGGAGCTGAAGCTGGAGCTGAAGCTGGAGCTGGAGCTGGAGCTGGAGCTGGAGCTGGAGCTGGAGCTGGAGCTGGAGCTGGAGCTGGAGCTGGGGCTGTTAGGGTTTGAAGGAAATTGATAAATATTGATAAATAGCTAGTTTTCCCTTTACTATATTCCACTAATGTTTACGAGTTGATCTTCTTCAGTCTAAAGCGCAATTCAAGGGAAATTCCGCTGTTTTCGGCTTTCCTGGAACGCACAGCACACACCTAGGGGTGAAGCTGATATGGTTGTAAAAAGGTCGTGACCCTCAGTTCTAGGTCATAGATAGCATTGGCTCAAAGCTAGCCGACACCTTCCTCTTTCCTAGTCAATCACTTCTCTTGTACTACACGTCGGAATTAGCAAATTGGCGGCTAGTTGTCACTTCCTTTGACAGACGACAACTGACTTTTGACTCTGAGAAACGAGAGAATCGGAGAAAAGGAACCGCGGGATTTAGGACTGGTTCATTTTCTTGTTCCAGGAATGGGATTCTAAATTTCTTAAGGTTTTTTTGTGAAAATTGGATGTCAATTGAATGTTCAAAAAGTTTTAAGCATCCTTTTCAATAGAAAAATAAGAAACTGAAGATTTAGGACTGGAGATTTAGGACTGGTTCATTTTCTTGTTCCAGAAATGAGATTCTAAATTTCTTAGAATTTTTTTGTGAAAATTGGATGTCAATTGAATGTTTGAAAAAAGTTTTAAGCACTTTTAAGCAATAGAAAAAAATTTTACAAAATTCGGTGGGATTGAAATTTTGAAATTTGTATTTTCAGAATTTTGACCACTTTAACAAAACACTTAACTAGAGTGACATCCAGCTTGGACGGAAAAGTCGTTTCCCCAGCGAAATGGCATAATGGAACGGCCATATGTTGGGTCAGCAATTCCGGTCAACACATCCCCGGATTCATTAGGCTTAGGAAAAGGCGCTCGAATTAGCACTCTCCATTCTGCTAGAAATAACACCGCTCTTTAATGGGGATTTCCGCCTAGTAAACAATCAAGAAAGAAGCAAAGAAATTACCCTGGACCGGGATCGAACCCTGATCGCTCGACTAGAAACAGAGAGCTTTACCAATACACTAAAAGAAAACATAGGAATTATCGAAATTTTCTAAAACCAGCATTCCCAATGACCTCCAGCATTGCTGAATTCACCGTTCAAATCATCAAAACTCATCTCGATAACCCTCAAAATTCACCATTCTCAAAACCGACCTTCATTTGTCTTTCCCAGTCTATCAATGCCACGCTTCGATAGTTATCGAGTGGTCCGAAGGGACGGAATTGAAAATTTGCAAAAGATTAATAACGTGTGGTCCCTAAAAGTGACAGTAAGTGGCCGGGAGGCATTCATTCATTGAGCACACTGAGATATTGAGATCGATGACGCAATTTTGAGCCCATACACTCAAGGCCATCTGCAATGTGGTGATGAATTCGATGAATTTGCGTTTCCTGGGAGTCACACTTAGGTCTGAAATCGTTCGGTTCATCAAAAAGTTCATATAAGAAATTGGTATTAGGAGTCAGTCAGTGAGAGTCGGATCGGAAAAATTAAACTTTGACCAATAGTCCTAGAATGGAGTTCTAGAATTTAAAACGTTAGAGTGACTTCCAGAACAGCTAAATACTCATTCCTAATCCAGTTTTCTAATTCAGTTTTTACTTTTTATGAGAGTCAACGTTTTCTTCATTTCTGGAGTCGGTTTAATCAAAAGTTTTCTCTTTGATTTATTAGTTTATGATAAATTGCCAATAGCAACCACAAATAATCGATCTTTTGACATAAATGCGCTCTATAATCCCTAAAAAAGGTTTGCTCGTTTGGAGCTCGCATTTCCGGAGCCGACAAAATAGTGTGAAAACAAAAAAAAACGCCGAGATCGATGACACAAAGAGACCATTTGTCCAAATCTTTTTCAAACTTTGACCAATAGTCCTAGAATGCAATCATAGAATTTAAAACGTTAGAGTGACTTCCAGAACAGCTAAATACTCATTCCTAATCCAGTTTTCTAATTTAGTTTTTACTTTTTATGAGAGTCAACGTTTTCTTCATTTCTCGAGTCGGTTTAATCAAAAGTTTTCTCTTTCATTTATTAGTTTATGATCTATTGCCAATAGCAATCAAAAATAATCCATCTATTGGCTCAAATGGTCTTCATTATCCCGAAAAATGTTTGTCAAAGATGGCAAATCGCTTTTCCGGAGCCGACAAAATGGTGTGAACACAAAACGCCGAGATCGATGACACAAAAAGACCATCTGTCCAAATCTTTTTCAATCACATTTACTTCTTTTCTTTGGGCTCCATTATGCAACATGAATGACAAAAGAAAGGATTTCCCGGCCGGGGTAACGTCCTTTTTTCCCCTCAGTCCTCTTTCTTGTTGACATCTCTGCGGGGAAATCAAAAGCATTGCCGATTTGCCTAAATTTGGCATCTCCAATCTCTTCCAATTGTCGATTCATCAAATTCATCAACGTGCCAGAGATGACAAATTCTCGGGGAAAGGATTATTATTTTTTTTTGTGTTTAAAAGACCATTGCCGATACCGCAAAAATGAGTTTGATTAAAGGGATTTGCATAAAATTCATTTATTTATTATATTTCAATTTTTTTGAGATTCATAGTAAATTATGGAAGTCACAAAAGGTTTTGAAAGGTTTAAGAGATTAGGAGGTGTTGTTTTTCTATTTTCGATTTAATACTTTTGCTGTTGGTAAACTTTTGACACTCAAAAGTTCAGAGCTAAGAACTGGAAAGCTTAAAACGGTCCAAATTGCATAGAGCTTCATAAAGTTGTTCTTTTAGATAACTAGAGCTCATTCTCATTTCATTATTTAAGTTTTAGCTTTTGGAGCTTGAGCTTTTGGATCTTGAGCTTTTGGAGCTTGAGCTTTTGGAGCTTGAGCTTTTTGGTCTTGAACCTTTGGATCTTAAGCTTTTGGATCTTAAGCTTCTGGATCTTAAGCTTTTGGATCTAGAGCTTTGGAGCTTAAGCTTTTGGATCTTAAGCTCTTGGATCTAGAGCTTTTTGGTCTTGTAGTATTAGGGAAAAGAGTAGCGGGGTAATCGTATCGGAAGAAGAGCTCTTGTTCAACTAACGACCACTCCTACACTCATCATGACATCCAAAAGAAAGCGAAAGCGGGTAAAATTGAAGTAAAATGAAGTGGATTCCCATTCAATTCCCCGCAATCTTTTCCCGTGTTGAGTTGAAGACTAGACTAGCCTTAGCTCGGTTCTTTCTTTTCCTTTTGCTTTCTTTGCTTTCTTTGTATTCAAATCTTTCAAATACTAAATCCTGGAGGGCACAAGGGATTTTGAAATGATTATTTTCATTGAGAAACACAAAAAAAAGCAAAAGTATGGCAGAAATCAAAAAAAATGAAAAATCTTTAAACAAAAGCAATAAAATTTCAGACAGATCTCTCTCAAACCCTTCAACAACTCTCCGAAAAGGCAAAAAGAGCAAGTGAAGAGATTGGACGACTCAAACAACTTCAAGAAGTCGTTAATGTAAGTTGAAGTTGGCAGAGTTGGCATTGGCAGAGTTGGCATTGGCAGAGTTGGCAGGGTTGGCATTGGCAGAGTTGGCATTGGCAGGTTGGCATTGGCAGAGTTGGCATTGGCAGAGTTGGCATTGACAGAGTTGGCATTGGCTGAGTTGGCATTGGCAGAGTTGGCAGAGTTGGCATTGGCAGAGTTGCCAGGGTTGGCAGAGTTGGCAGAGTTGGCATTGGCGGAGTTGGCAGAGTCGAAATCGCATTCCAAAGCATTCCAATGAAAAGAAATGAAAATTCTGTTTCCAGAACAATTGCAATGACTTTAAATCGTCTGTTTGCATCCAAATCGACGCTTTAGTCGATCAGTTGATGGCAAGGAAAGAAGAACTGATGACACGCATTGAACAGGATAAAGAGCACAAGGTGAGTGAGTGCGTAATTGAACCAAAACTATTTTTTTTTCGTTATGACCTTTTTAACTCAATCAAAATCTCTAATGACTTCCAGAACTTATAAAAAAATCGAAATATGAAAAAGGTAGTTGTAGAAATTTTTTGAAAATCGTTTAGAGTCGAAAAATCGAATTTTCTGGAGTAACTTGAGTTAAAAAAGTAGAAATCTTTTAGAAAACGATTTATTGGGTTGATGGAAAAAGAAAACGTTTTTGTGTCCGTTTGTTTGGGGGTACCTTATTTGTCGAATTTTGACGTTTTGCTCATCTAGCTCTCTAGCTCATCTAGCTCATCTAGCTCATCTAGCTCATCTAGCCATCTAGCTCATCTAGCTCATCTAGCCCATCTAGCTCATCTAGCTCCAAGAACGACTCCAAGAAATTATGGCTCATCCTAAAGCTGAATTCAAGACGAATCGATTGGTAAAAACCGTTTTGCGATAGCTCTTTTGTAAAAGTTTTTACAGCTATTTTAGTAAAGGGTGGCAGAGCCAGAAACAGCCAAAAAATGGCTGTTTTCACGTTTTCATTAGTTTTCTGCGCAGAAACCTAGGGGCCTAAAAACATGTGTTTCGGATCAGCGTCAAAAATAACCCCTAGACACGCATTTTCAGAATCTGAGCCAAAAAATGCCTGTTTTCACGTTTAGGAAAGGCTATTGATCTGAGGGTCGCTGGTTCGACTTCCACCGGTGACAATATTTTTCAAAAATCTTTTGCTAAGATTCTGAAAATGCGTGTCTAGGGGTTATTTTGGACGCTGATCACGAAACACATGTTTTTAGCCTAGGTTTCTGCACAGAAAACTAATGAAAACGTGAAAACAGCCATTTTTTGGCTGTTTTTGGCTCTGCAACCCTTTACTAAAATAGATGTAAAAACTTTTAGAAAAGAGATATCTCAAAACGGTTTTTACCAATCGATTCGTCTTGAATTCAGCTTTAGGATGAGCCATAATTTCTTGGAGTCGTTCTTGGAGCTAGATGAGCTAGATGAGCTAGATGAGCTAGATGAGCTAGATGAGCTAGATGAGCTAAAACGTCAAAATTCGACAAATTTAAGGTACTCTCCCAAACAAATCGGAAAGGACTTTTCCATCAACCCAATAGAAAACGATTTAATCTCAATCTCAATTTTTCTAGCGTCGTGTTCTCCGCGATCAAATCGGCCGTTGCACAAATAAATTAGGCAAAACGACAGCGTTGATTCAATTCGGGATCGAGGTTTTGAAAGAGCCGGATCCAGCGACTTATCTATTGGTAAATGGTTATAATTATATAAAACCATCATCGCTTTCAGATCTCTAACGCAATGTTACACCGCTCAAGCAGTCAGGAATTCCTTTGGCATACCGAAATGCGCACGAAACCCGAGGTATGGATCGTGTAATTGAACCGGAGAAAAGCCACAGAAATTTTTGCGCCGCCTTTCCAGCTAATCTATCCCAAAAGGTGCAATGACCTCCAGAATAACCAAAAAATTTCAGATCGACCCCGAATTTGTGCTCAACTTGGACACAAAGCACATCCACTACGCGATCGGCACCCTTGACTTTGCTCAGCATAAAGGTATTTTAAAACTAAGAATCCTATCTTACTATGTGACATCCAGGATTAGCTAGAATCAGTTTCAAAATCGCCTTTAGGCTCTCAGAGTCGACGAATCGCTGGCGATTCGAGTAAAGGTTCTGAAAAGATGGAAAAACCTCTTTACTGTAGTATTGTGTTGTATAAAAATTAAGCAATTTCGCAATTTGAAAAGCATGGACACTGGCACTATGTTTTTTTCTTATTTTCCTGAAAATTTTGATAATTTTAGTCCCCTCTTCACCGGGATTCGACGCGGCCGAATGCTCTGCAGAGAATAACTCTGTCACGCTTGGTGGGTTATTGCAAAAGTTTAGAAATTGAAAATTCTCGATTTTAATGATCCCATTCGATTCCGTGAACTCCAATTTGACCATTAGCTTTCAAAATTTTTCTTTTCAACAAAAATTTGCTTAATTTTTTTGCTTGAACTCGAATCTCTAACTCAATTTTTTCTAATTTTAAGTAAGAGTCAATTCGATAGATTTATATTAAAGCGTGATATCCAGAATCGAATTTTAGTTTGGCGACCCAGGCTAGACGGGTGCGCGATTGATGGTTATGCACTCGAGATCGACACCGGCAGAGATGACGGCGTGTTCAAAGTGAGTGAAAAGGAGAAAAGGAGAAATCCCTTTGCCAAACTCTTTGCTGCGTTCCAGCTTTTGAAAATCTAAAGGCTACAACTATTTTTTATGCTTCAGGAAGTCTACTCTGGTCCGGATACGATTTGTACAATTGATGGACTCCATTTCAATACGATGTACGCCGCGCGGGTGAAAGCTTTCAACTCAGCCGGCGAGAGTGTCTACAGTGAGCCGATTTGTCTACAAACGGCACAGGGTTTGTCTTGTTTGAAAATCTTTTATACCAAATTGCAATCAACGGCAAAAAAAGGCAAAAAAATGTAATTTCTTGTCATTTTCGATTATTTTCTCAAAATATCACAACTTTGCCTCGTTTTCAACCTGAAATCTTTTCATTTAAGTCAAAATTGCTTTGTTTTTGAGGAATCTGGATGTCACAAGGGATTTTGGTGAAATTTTCGGTTCAAATACCCGACTTTGACCTCATGGCGCAGTGGGTAACGAGCGCGGTTATGGGGCGAACGCCTGGGGCCTGGGGTCTGGGTTCGATCCCGGGAGCGAGCAAATTTTCGCTTTTTTTTTGGCTTTTCAGGCCTTTAGCAAAATAAACTTTTCAGTCGCCTGGTTTCAATTGACGAAAAGCCCATCACAACGGGATATGCAGTTGACAAATGAGTGCATGACATTAACGGGAACGACGATCGAACACCGCACAGTGCTCGGGAGTATCGCTTTCTCGAAGGTAAGCTATTGACCAAGTCTTACTGTAAAATCTAAATGAGTATGAGAAATTGTTTGACTTGATCCTGAGCTTACCGTACTGTAAAAGACAAAGTACTGGAACTGATCAGTCTTGCTCGAGGATTCGGGCTGGCTTCGGCGAGCTGTGAGCTGGCTAGGTCCTGGTAAAACGGTACAAAAATCCAAAAACTAGCCACTAGTCAAGCTGTATTGTGTCAGCAGTTGAAATCTGGCTTCTGAAAGGTATAGAGCTCAGGTACAGAAAGCAAAATAGTTCCTGGGTCAGCCAGAAGGCAGGCTTGCATCTGTACCTAAAATTGTTAGCAAGTTCCGGGCTTCTGGAATGCACTCTGCACTCCAAGTAGTTCTTATAGGCACCACGGAACTGATCTGACTTACCTTTAGACCTTTAGACCTTTAGAATCTTATTATAGTACTGTACCCTCTCAAGATCTCTCAACATCCCAAGGATCCCCATTCCTTCAAAACCAAATTTCAGGGAGTTCACTATTGGGAAGTAACCGTCGACAGATATGACGCGAATGCCGATGTCGTTGTTGGAGTTGCGCAACCCTCAGTGAACAGAAATGTGATGCTAGGTGAGTAAAATCTCTGCAATATCTATGCTTTCATGGTTCTAAATAATCCTGCGCCTTTTCAGGAAAGGATTTACATGGATGGTCGATGTATGTTGATGCAGAAAGATCTCGGTATTTCCACAACGAAACCCATCATCACCGAATCTCAGGCGGCATCTCGAAAGGCTCAGTCATCGGTAAGAACTACACTAACTAGCTTGAACTCTCAAATGGCTTAGACTTAGGCTTAGGCTTAAGCTTAGGCTTAGACTTAGGCTTAGGCTTAGGCTTAGGCTTAAGCTTAGGCTTAGACTTAGGCTTAGGCTTAGGCTTAGGCTTAAGCTTAGGCTTAGACTTAGGCTTAGGCTTAGGCTTAGGCTTAGGCTTAGGCTTAGGCTTAAGCTTAGGCTTAGGAATAGGCTTACGCTAGGCTTACGCTAGGCTTAGGCTTAGGCTTAGAGTACGATAGGACGGTAGCCAAAACGGTAACTGGGGACGATAGCTTGGACACTTTTAAATAATCTACAAGCACGGTAGGCTGGACAGAAATTCCTAAGCCTAAGCCTGAGCCTGAGCCTGAGCCTGAGCCTGAGCCTCCAGATCACTTAAATTTCAAACCTTCAGGTGTTCGGCTGGATTGTGACCGCGGGACGCTCACGTTCACGATCAACGACCGAAAACGCGCCTTCGAGAAAGAGACCGTCGCGTTCAGGTACGGTAGAATGTCATAAATTGCTCAAATTACGGTTTTATTGTTGCTAAAAAATGACTATTTTCATTTTCCTTTAGAAACATCCCCCGTGGCCTTTACTATCCAGCATTTGCTGTGAATTGTCACTCGTCGATCACCGTGCACACCGGTTTAGCGCCACCAAGCAGCCCAACCTCGTCCGAATGCTCAGATAGTTGATTCTGGAATGCACAGATGATTTCCCAATATCTAGCTACTGAATTTTGTAAAATTTTGAAAAAAACAAGTCACGATTTGAATTTGAGCTGATTTTAAGCTATTGAATCATCACAAATACCCCAATTTTTGGCTCTTTGTACATCCTGGAACGCACAACATCCATTAGATCTATATTTTTAAGTCCCAAAAGGATTTCATCTATAGTCCAGTGGGTAAGAGTTAAGATTGCCGATCTGGGGGTCGTGGTTCGATTCCGTCTGGTAAAAAAAATTTTTTTTACTTTTGTTTATTATCAAATTTTTTTACTGAAAATCTATCAATATTTATCTAAAATGTTTTGTCTTTCAAAATATTCAAATATCATATTTCATTGTCCAGTGCTGTACGTACGAGAAATTCAGCCACAATTCAGTCAATTTTCAAGAAACAAATAGAGGCTCTAGATCTAACGAATCTAGATCTAATGGATCTAGATCTAACGGCTCTAGATCTAACGGCTCTAGATCTAACGGCTCTAGATCTAACGGCTCTAGATCTAACAGCTCTAGATCTAGCATCTAGATCTAGCAGCTCTAGATCTAACCGCTCTAGATCTAGCCGCTCTAGATCTAGGCGCGCGAAAGTGACGATCCTTTTTTTCAAATACGATATTTCCTTGTCCAGTAGTGTATCTAAAAGCTTTTTTCTTTCAAAATATTCGCAAGTTTTCTTTAAAAAAAATTGAATAAAACACCCGGTCCATTCATTTTTTCCTCGCCAAAATTTATGTAAATTTTCAAAAAAATTTTATGTGATATTTTCGTATTTTTCATCTTTTTTTGCTTTTTTTTGCTTTTTTTTGCTTTTTTCAGTTGTCAAATGGTGCCAATTATGTCTTTTTTTTCCAAAAATTTTACATTTTTTATGTATTTGCAATTTTTGAGTGCATTTTTGCAAAGTGTTAATAAAATTAAACGCTTTTTAATTAATGTAAATTTTGCATTTTTTTATCAACAAGACTCAAAAAATAAGCGAAATTTTCAATAAAAATAAACTAAAATTTGATAGGGAAATCAAATTTTAAGAATTTTAAGATTTTAAGACAAAAAAAGTGAAATTCCTTTCGATTTCCTATCGTTTCCTTCAAAAAAATCACAACTTTGCCTCGTTTTCAACCTGAAACCTTTTGATTTAAGTCAAAATTGACTTTGTTTTTGGGGAATCTGGATGTCACAAGAGATTTTGGTGAAATTTCCGGTTCAAATACCCAACTCGACCTCATGGCGCAGTGGGTAACGAGCGTGGTTATGAGGCGAACGCCTGGGGTCTGGGGTCCGGGTTCGATCCCGGAAGCGGTCAAATTTTTGTTTTTTTTTATCTTTAGCTAACTGGGTGTTCCTGATTTCCGAAAATAAATCAATTACTTGGAAAGTGACGCCAAAATCGCGCAAATACTCGTAGATCTTTGTGTCAGCGAAAGCGGAGGCGGTTGTGTAGACGCCGCCACTGAAATGTTGAGGGATTTTTGATTTTTTTTTTTGGTTATTCTGGAAGGTGTTGAAGGCTTTTCAATGGTTAAAAATTACTTTTTCGGTAAAGTTTTCTTGTCGTTGATGATAGCGAGGGCTGAGGACATGACCATTGCCGAGGTGGCTATGTAGCCAGCGTCAGGCCCGCGGCAAGATACCACCACCTGATGAAATGGATTTTGGACTGAGAGTTGGAGAATTTTGGTTTTTTTTGGCCACCTTTTCCCCATTTGATTCAAGATTTAGACAAACTTTAGCTAGGCTAACTGTTGAAGAATGCTGAGGTTGAGCTCAAGAATTAACTCAACAACGAACTCAACAACGAACTGACTGACTCTTTTATCCGGTTGTCCCTGGTGTTGTTCGTTTAGGCTTTTCCGTTCACTATATCCGCTTCCAATAAACCAATAGATAAAACCAGCTTGTTCCATTTGCTCTTGAGTCGGGCCAGCGTTCTGAAAAGAGTCAATTTTTCAAATTTTTCAAATTTTGATCAATCTAAAAGATTATAGCCTAAATGTTTGTAACTTAAACAGCGCCGCCAAAACAGCGCCGATTAAAACAGCGCCGGCAAAACAGCGCCAATGAAAAAACGCTCAAAACAGAGCCTGTACGGCGTACGGCGTACAGGCTCTCTTGTTTTACCTAACCTAACCTAACGGATTAAAACCGCGCCCCGGCAAAACAGCGCGGATTAAAACCGCGCAGCCAAAACAGCGCCTGTACAACGTACGCCGTACAAGCGCTGTTTTGGGCGTTTTGGGTACGGCGCTATTTTGAGTGGCGCTGTTTTGGTCGGCGCTGTTTTGGGGTAGACTCTAACTTTTCACTCACCTTGAACATGTTAAAACTGCATAGATCCGGGTATTTCTGTAAGAAACGTCTTGTCGGAGTCCACATACAGAGAAGCGAGAAAATCGACACCCAAACAACTAACAAAACGGCCCAAAGAAGTGAACCAATCCGAATATAGGTTTCGATGGACACCTGGAAGATTTCGATTCACTTAGATCAGTTAAATCAGTTAAAACAAAGGATTTCTCTTTTTTTATCTTTTAATATGCCTTCCAATTCTTGGTGATGATGTCTTGGTGATGATGTCTTAAGGATGATGTCTTAAGGATGATGTCTTAGAGATGATGTCTTAGGGATGATGTCTTAAGGATGATGTCTGGGTGATTAAAATTCTTGTTTCCACTCACTGGTCTTTCCTGTTTTTCGACATATTGATAATACTGTGAACGTTGAACAATCGACTTATCAGAGCCCATAAATGGTAAAGCCCAGCCACCGTTCAACTCCCCGGCATCGATTTGCCAGAGTTTACCCCTAAAAATCGAATTTTACGAAAGAGAAACGTTAAAAAAACCGCTTTGGCGGTCGGATAGCTGATCGAGGGATTTTCTCAGGCATGATCTGACGACGAATCTAAAGAAATAGTGCTCAATTTCTCTTATCAATGATTAAATTGGATGTCACAGCATTGATTTCTTTAATTGCCTTTCTTTAATTGCCTTACTTGTCCCAACTTGTCACTCATGACTGACGAGATGCCTAATACGAGCGTTTGATAGGTGCCAGCGTTGAAAGAATAACCCTGAATTAGAAATTTTTATCAAATGCTGGAATGCATTTTAAATGCAAGAGCTTTTGATTGGCTCAATTTAGTTTTACTCACTGAACTAGTCAATAGTTGGACAAAGCTCTCGATATGATTGAGGTTTTGGAGAATCTGGATGTCACAAGAGATTTTGGTGAAATTTCCGGTTCAAATACCCAACGTTGACCTCATGGCGCAGTGGGTAACGAGGGCGGTTATGAGGCGAACGCCTGGGGCCTGGGGTCAGGGTTCGATCCCGGGCGCAGCCAAATTCTCGCTTTTTTTTGCCTTTTTAAGCCTTTAGCTTTTACAAAAGGTTTGTCTTGTTTGAATATTTTGTAGCTGACAATTGCTTGTCATTTCCTATCATTTTCTCAAAAAATCACAACTTTGCCTCGTTTTCAACCTGAAATCTTTTGATTTAAGTCAAACTTACTTTGTTTTTGGGGAAACTGGATGTCACAAGAGGTTTTGGTGAAATTTCCGGTTCAAATACCCAACGTTGACCTCATGGCGCAGTGGGTAACGAGGGCAGTTATGAGGCGAGCGCCTAAGACCTGGGGCCTGGGTTCGATCCCGGGCGCAGCCAAATTCTCGCTTTTTTTTGGTCTTTAGCTAACGGGGAGTTCCGAAAATAAGTCAATTTGCTTTGTTTAGAGCGAGAGCTTTTGATTGGCTCAATTTACTCACCGCTGGACCAGTCAATAGTTGGACAAAGCTCTCGACATGATTGAGATCACCAGGGAAATGTTTCTGAAGAAGATTCGCTTGAGTTACAGGCTTTACAAAGAACCTTTAAGTAGTTGACTCCTAAATCAGCTGGAATTGAATCCCATCCGCATGCGCCAACCACATAGACGCCTTTTTCCTTTGCAAGTTCACCAAATTTCATCTGCATCTTCTCGAGAAACTGAAATTTAAATTTAAATGATTTAGTTGATTTGTAATTGATTTACAATTGATTTACGTTAGCTGATGTTAGCTGATCAAGCTGATCTAGCTGATCAAGATCTACCTGATCACCCTGATCAAGATCAAGCTGATCAAGATCAAGCTGATCAAGATCACGCTGATCAAGATCTAGCTGATCAAGATCTAGCTGATCAAGATCTAGCTGATCAAGATCTAGCTGATCAAGATCTAGCTGATCAAGATCTAGCTGATCAAGATCTAGCTGATCAAGATCTAGCTGATCAAGATCTAGCTGATCAAGATCTAGCTGATCAAGATCTGCTGATCAAGATCTGCTGATCAAGTCTGCTGATCGATCTAGCTGATCAAGATCTAGCTGATCACGCTGATCAAGATCTAGCTGATCAGGATCTAGCTGATCAAGATCTAGCTGATCAAGATCTAGCTGATCAAGATCTAGCTGATCAAGATCTAGCTGATCAAGATCTAGCTAATCTAGCTGATCAAGATCTAGCTTGATAGCTTGATTCACTGTATTTCAAGAACTAACCGCCGGTTCTCCTGAAATATCGACATGTGAAGCTCCTTCTTCAACAGCTGCTTTAACCACAGCCTCTCCATGAAGACGATACTAAAAGGCTTTAGGTTTTAACACTTTTTTCGAAAACTCAATGAACACAGAACGCAGAAAAATGTCTAGAAGCTACAGTTTACAAAATTTCTGTTTATCTTTCCCACGCACTTTTGCGCTAACTCTTCTTGCTCATTTCCATTTCCTTTTCCCAATCCCATTTCTCCTTGCAGCAATTTCCCCCCTTCTAAACCCAATCAATCCAATTTCCTTATCAACCCGTCAATCGTTTTCCTTTTTTTGATCAGCTGATTAAAAACGTCAATCTGATCACTGAAAATTGAAGAAATCAGAGAATATTTTTTTGAAAATGACAGTTGAAAAGGGAAAAGGGAAAAGGGAAAAG